ACCAAGGTTAATTTAAAAACAACCGTTTAAACTATTATAGAGATATTCACGCAACTGTAGTTATCGTGTTAAGTGTGTGAAAGTCAAGAAATATTTTGGCGCTCACCTTCTTGGGCATGATCTATTTTTTTTTCTTACTACATATTAGTGCCTTTTATTACTTATAGAAGTGAGAAATCTGAAAAGAGGTATCTAAAAGATGGTGAAAGTAGAATTCAATTCAATTGGAAGTGTTCACGAAAGGAAGAAAGAAGTTAAAATTTAAAGAGCAAGGATCAAAAAGGTGGTGAAAGCCGGATAAAATTCAATTTATAAAATCATGGCCATCAAGCACTTTTAAATGGATAGTCATTAAATTCTGCCATTTTTACTTATCACATAATTAAAACACTTAATCTTTATTAATCAAGAACTTATTCGACAACATGTGATTAAACCTGAAAATAGCACATTTAGCAGATAAAAATCGTATAAGGTCGTTTTTACTAGCACAGTACCACAATTAGACCGATCCAACGTTTACATGAATACCCTATATAACTGAAATATTATTCTTACAGTTAAGTACTTAGTTTTGTTAACAAAGAAATTTTTTGGTAGGCTTAAATATTCATAATTAATCCCGGAAACTTTGACGCTTGTATGGAAATTATTATTGTCTGTCTGTCCTTGGAATCGGTTTATATAAGTGGCGGGGATTATATTTAATTTAATGTACGAGTAAACAGATTAAAGAAGATTAAGGAAGAGTAGAAGTCTTTACTAGTTGCTAAGAAACTGTTAAGAAAGTTAAGAGTATAACTATTTATTCAAATTCAACAAAGTTTCAAGTTTTCTGTTGCAGACAACGTAAGGTAAACTGTTTTAACCGTGTTATGTTAAAGTCGAGAATTTTTGCGCTTCAATTTGCTATTTCGGAACAACCTGCTGACCTTTCTACCTATGTACAATTTCGTAAACTCCCTTAAGGTTAATCATATACCAAGGGGAATTACAAATAACCGTTTAAACTATTTTAGGGATATTCACCCAACTGTGGTAACCGTGTTAATTGTGTGAAAGTAAGAAATATTTTGGCACTCGACGCTACCAACGACAAGGGACTGTCAACCGACGGGCCAGTGTGCTATTTTGTAAACTCTATTTAGATTACGCTTTGGTTTACATACGTGCGATTTGGTTATAATGAAAGTCCAAGCAAAAAGGAGGTAATATTCAAAAGGAGGGGTTGAGATGGGAAGTTAGTGCCTGTGTGGATCGAAGTCACGATAGCTCAAGTGGTAGAGGAGTAGCGGCATATCAAGCCGGGGGTCGTTGGTTCGAATCCCGCTCGTGACACTGACTTTTTTATCTCAACTAAAAACCTTAATTAATTGTATAATGAAAGTGTTCACAATGGGAAGAGAGAAGTTCAAATTTAGAAAGGAAAGATTAAAAAGGTGGTGAAAATAGAATTAAATTCAATATTATCACTATTGAAAGTATAATTCGTCTACACTACCTTTTTATTTATCAATTATTAAATAATCAATAATTCTTTATTAATCACGAACTTATTCTACAACAGCTTCCTGAAAAATAGCTGCATATTTAACAGATAAAAATCTCGAAAGATCCTTGACTTACTTAAAACAAAAGACTACTATGCACATTTAAGCCGATGAAACGTTTACGTTAATACTTTATAACTAATACTTTATGTAACTGAAAGGTATTCTTAAAAATGTAGTGTTATCTTTGCTATCTTTGAAAATTGTGAGGTAAGGTGAAATATCCCGGAATCTTCACGTAAAAGTTCTATTTTGATTTTGGAATTGGAAATATTAGAAGGTCGAAAAGTTAAACGCGTACTATATTAATAGCACAATAATAATTAAACATGACACAATGGTAGCATATTTTTTTCATGGAGGGATTGTAAATAAAAAGATTGAATGCAAAAGGGTTTGACCATTTTTGTTACAAGGTTGAACAGTTAATAATAAAGATTTCTAATATGAGAAGATTTGAAGTGGAAAAATAGAATCTAGATGATTATTTGGAGGTCGTGAGATGCGGTCTGGTGTGACGTAGGTTTTAGAAAAACATTTTCTTGATCGGGCCAACGTTTCGATCTTTATTGAGATCATTTTCAGAGGCATCTCCCAAGAGCACTCTCAACAGGATAGACAAGAATGACACATCTACACGAAAAACAACACTTTGAGCCCTGAAGATGATCTCAATAAAGATCGAAACGTTGGCACGATAAAGAAAATGTTTTTCTGAAATGTACGTCACACCAGATCACAACTCACGATCTCCAAATAATCATCAAGTAACGGCCACTAAACACCACACATAGAATCTAGAATTGTTTCTATCGTAAATGGTAATCCATTAATATTATATTAATATTATCCTACAAATGAATTTTCCTAATTATTTCGTAAAATTCAAGACTGGATAACAACAGTTGCAAAATCGAGTTAAATTATAGATCCTAACGGTATTCAATTCGTTCAGATCGAATGTTTCTATATTTTCCCATGTACGAAGGCGACGGAGGCTAAATTCGTCATGATAGATTTAACACACTTTCACTAACGTGGTTCGATTTCGATACCCTTAAAAAAGGGTACAGCACGACACAACAGCGTACACAGCTTCCCATGGCATTTTTATCTTCTTTGTTGTTTCCGCTTCATTAAGCTGTGTTTTATATAACGACGTTTAATTAACTTTAGACAATGGGGAATTTTTAGTTTACGGTTACCATTCTGTATAGCCTTATCGGTTATACAACCCGTGACGCTGAAGCAGCGACAATGAAAAATGGCAGTTTGTTAAAATAGAAAACTTTTAATTACATAATAATACTGGTAATAAAATACAATTCATTGTAAGGAGGTCGCGAAGCCAGTGATACTTCATCATCATGGAAGTTTATCTGTAAGGGTGCGGGATTTTTCAGAGCCAGTTTTAATCGTTTATCTTTTAATAAGTCTGAATCGTTTGTTGAGTTCTTGTCTTTAGAGTCGCGTGTATGAGTCCTAAGTAAATATAATATCCCAGGGTAGCAGACTACGTTAGCTGATCCTAGGGGAGAAGGATACTAGGCATCAGATGGGAGCAGTAGTTAATCTTCGTAGGGTGAAAATGATATGTACATTTTGTATTTTCTTGCCATAACCCCCTCCCGCTTGCTATTGCTCAAGGGATGTGTTCGGTTGGTTGAGATGACGAGACATTTGTCCCTATAAGGGATGGCGGTCGAAAGGGAAGGAATGTCTTCGGTGTATAGGATGATTGGTCCTAATGTACTACCTTGCAACTGTGCGATAGCCGGACTGAAAAAGGGAAGCTCTGATGACCTAAAAGGGTCGGTTCGTTAATGATTTAAGGATCAGGTAGTAGATAAAAGAAAAGATTCTCAGAGCAATCACGATTGCCACTCGATGGAAAGCTTGTTTCATATATAAGAATAAATATCCCTTTCGCTCTAGAGCGTACAATGTGATAGCACTACTGTGCGGAGTGAGAATGTCGGAAGCAGAACTAGACTATTGACTGTAAAATCATCGGAGGTTATGAGGTAATTAGGCTTTGGTGTCATTCGTTTGAGGGGAAAATTCCATTAAAATGGGATTTATGTGGCTTTAAGGACAGAATTCTAAATTTAGGTAAGGAAAACTACAGTTTTTTTAGGTAGGTGCCGAAGAATCAGGTTAAACTAATTTCATCGAACACGATTTCTTTAAATTTTGAACGAATTAAATTAATATCATTAAACTCACTAATTTCGTGGTCCGCTTATCAATTATCTCAACCAAAAAACCTTAATTAATTGTAATAAATTAATATCTTTACAATAAATAGAGAGGTAATTAAAGGTTACTTTTAATTAATCTAAATGTTGCTGATTTTAATAGACAAAATCTACTGATTCGATTTTTTTAGCAAGTGAGTTATGTGAGTGATCTGATCCTACATCCCATCATACCTGCACTTTTCAAAAAATTAATTAACGTACTTTTGGCAACCGAATTTTTGTTGTTGTCATTCAAAAAATCTCAGCAAATAATTGAAGTTTGAATGAAACAGATAAAAATTGATTGTTTAATTTTTTAGCTAATGAAATATGGGTGAAATCTGATCATTGCTCCAAACTCCCTGCTTAACTTTTGCAATAAATTATTTAAGGTACTTTTGGTAGTTGGATTTTCACTTTTTTTATATTGAAATGTCCGTAAAGGATTTACGTCTGAGTGTAGCTAATAAAATTTATTATACTTTTAGTAATCGAATTTTTACTATTTTATGGAAAATCTCAGCAAATAATTGTATTATGAGTGTAGCAGATAGAACTGATTGTTTCAAATTTTTAACACATGAAGTATTGGTTAAATCTGATAATTCCTCCAAAGACTATAATTGAACTTTTCAAAATAATTATTTAAGGTACTTTTGGTAATTGGATTTTCACTATTTTCATTCAGAATTGTCGTTAGGAATAAAACTTTGAACGTGACAAATAAAGGTGATTGTTTTAATTTTTTTAGCAAATAAGGGTTTTGGTGAATCGTTCCATGCTTGAATGTTTTTAAACATTTTTAAGGTACTCTGGTAATTGGATTACTACCATTTTTATTCCAAAAACGCAGCAAAGAATTGAAGTAGATAAAATCGATTGCTTTCATTTTTTGCAAATGAGGTATGTGTGAGATCTGATCATTACTTCAAACCCCTACCTGAATTATTCCATAATTTAAGTTACATTCTTCTGGTAATTAAATTTTTTATTTTCATAGTAAACGCTCCGTAAGAATTGAAGTTCAATTTAAAAAAATAAAATTGATTGTTTTCATTTCTCTAGTAGACCTCATCCCGGTCATTAACATAAACTGATACTTAAGAGCATAAAACATGGCAATGGCCATTTTGTCAATTTATAACGTTTCTAAAATATATTTAATATATTGATGACGGGTTTTGTCCATAATTAAAATAGAAATACTCACGTTATCTATGACTAGATTGACCCATGAGGTGAAGAACACGGCGACGAAGAGGCCAATGAGAAGGATCAAGAGAGAGAAGACAATTACTATCCCTGAAATCAATAAAATAATTTGTTATGTGAAGAGATTAGTGACCGTTAATCGATAGTTATTCAGATATCGTGAGATGCGGTCGGGTGTGATGTAGGTTTCAGAAAAACATTTTCTTTATCGTGCCAACGTTTCGATCTTTTATTGAGATCATCTTCAGGGCCTGGGATTTACAAACAATGTTTACATTTAACAAATACATTTAGGATGTGGAAAAGTGAATTTATACAATGCAAAATATATTTTATATTCAAACAAAGTATTTCTACTCACTCAAAGTGTTTGTCTTCTGTGTAATTGTGCCATCCTTGCGTGTCGTGTTGAGAGTGCCAGTGAGATTTTGCTGTTTTATGTTTATATATGTTTGGTTTTGAAGGGGGGGGAAGGAAGTCGGTATATAAAAGACAATTTTGTGTAAGGCATCGGCTTCTTTGAAGTGGAAAAAGCCGACAAAGGGGAACAATGTGTTGGTAATAGTTCGGCCAGATTGTCCTTTCAGGATTATATAGAAAGGGGATAAATAGGAAAAGGAGAGCTAAATTGTTGGAAAATTAGTCTATGTGAAAAGTATTTGATGTGTGGAATGTAATGTAATGATATATGTATGTTATCTATATTGTATTTGGTTAATGATATTGGCGTAGCTGAGACTGAGTTACAGAACAGATACATGTAAACTCATTGTTTGTAAATCCCAGGCCCTGAAGATGATCTCAATAAAAGATCGAAACGTTGGCACGATAAAGAAAATGTTTTTCTGGAACCTACATCACACCCGACCGCATCTCACGATATCTGAATAACTAATAGTTCGTTATGATTATATTATATGGTAAGTTGGTGTCCGAGTGGATCGAAGTCACGATAGCTCAAGTGGTAGAGCAGCGGCGTATAGCCGAAGGTCGTGGGTTCGAATCCCGCTCGTAACATTAACTTTTTCATTTCAACTAATACCTTACATAAAGATTAATTAATTTAAAGAAGTTATAATTATACTTAATTAATTCATTTTTGGTAAAGAAAAAATACATGCACAATTTAGTTTCTGATCTAGTCCAAACATAAGCGTGATCGTACAAGTTGAGAATATGAAGGGAATATTTAAATATTTTGTAAATAAAATCAGTGAAGTACATATTAATAATGAATATTTAACTATATTTTTTAATTAAAATGTTTATAAAATTTTATATAATGCATGTAAATTTGTTCATGGTAGTGCAATGTAGTTGAGAGTCGCCGATTTCGTTTTCAACAACCAATATCAATAATTTTCCATCTTCTTTATCAACTTTAGTGTCTCAAGTTGTAGAAAAATAAATAAAAATACAGTATAAAAATGATTCGTTGTAAATTATATACTGACTGCAGGCGCGTTGCTATCTTTCATACCGAATTATAAAATGTTAAAGATATAAATTATTTTTGTGTAACCTAGAAATTGTCTTGTAAGCCAGTGTCATTTTATTCATCATGCGGAAGCTTTGAAAACTGTACAAGTGTGCACGTCTTCCCATGAAGAGTCTAGTTTCACCAGCGATCCTGAGAGTAGGCCACATTCGTTCCACAGATGACCTATTTGATAGCCGATCGACAAGATAATAATAATCAATTTCTCGGCCCTTTTGACTCCATAGAGAGAGCGTGCAGGCGATTGAATGAGCATCAAAATTTCCAGCGTATTTTATAGATAAATTTTTGATATTTGCGGTATTAATAAGCACGTCGCATTAAATCTACTTTTGCTCTAATTAGGTGTGAAATCAATTTCACTTTTTATATCTCCTAAATATTTTTATGTATCCATGAATGTCATTTATCGAGTAGACTTTGAGTTGCATTGTTGGAAAATCATTCGTTGAGATTGAATTTTATTTTGCTTTGAATCACTTTTCAACTTGCATCTTCATTTCTTTTGCTAACACTTTCGTTAAATGCCAAAGCTTAATTTTTGAAATAGCATACTAGCACAACGGCTAGCAGACTCCAGACAGTGTTAGTGTAGTTGCTTGGATTCTTGAAAAATCTGTATCGAATATTGTTGGAAAAGATATGGAAAGAAACCTGACTTATCTCTACTTCAGTTAGAAACTAAAGAATTTTGCGCAAAAATGTAAAAAAAAGTTAAACTAATTTTCAATATTTGCCTGGTTTTTGTGCCAAATCTCAACTAGTCCGTTTCCCTAAGTCTACAGCATTACAGGGACTATTGACGTATTATTAATTGTCTGTGGATTTAATATTTAATTGAATTTTAGACGGTAAAGGCTTAAGTAAATCTGATAATAAATCATTAGCATTTATGTGTTTCCACAGACAGTTGCTCAAAACATAATGCTTTGCGGCCTTCACGACTGTTCTGTTTCCTCAGGATTACATACATACATGTAACAATTTACTATAACAGTCTTTTTGAATATGCACTGAGCTCATTAGACACATGGCTGACTTTCCAAGTGGGGAGGAATTGGCAGAATCCGATTGAAATCTTAGGCTTTCACTGCAAAATTATAAATCCACAGGAAAATAAAGCACATTGACGTAACTCCTATCAATTGACGTTTGCATAATTAATTTTTTAATGGCAGGTTAAGTTAATCTGTTAATAAATCATTTGCATTTAGGACTTTCGAAAGGCGATTGATAAAGCACATGGCTCCATGACCTTCACGTCGGATCTGTTTCCTTTGGATAATGTATTTTTATTTCCTGTAACACTCCGTTTAAAATTCAAAGAGCTCTTTCTATGCATGACACTACGACGGCTACGTACAACGGTGACGAGGACAATTCCTTAACAGTCTTGAAATATTTAAAATTTGATTTTTCTTAATTTGGTCGACTTTTACCACTTTTATCAATTTGAAGAATTTTTGATTGGTATATATTTTTATGTATTGGGTTGTCCGGAAAATAATGCAGGATTTTGGTATTAAACAAAAAAAAAAGAAACTAGTTACTTTAAAGCAATGTTCTTTAATCAAAATAATTTCCCATACTCTCAATACATTTCTCCCAACGTGTTGGTAACTTATTAATNAATGAGTAATCCTGTAAACGTAAACAGAATATTTTATATAGATTTTTTTTAATGAAAACTTAAAATCCTGCATTATTTTCCGGACAACCCGATAGTTTGTTTGTTTCCTATCATTTTGGCCTTCTTAGTCTCACTGGTTTGATCTGACTGAGCGATACAAGGCGGACCAGGAATCGAAACCGATCAAGCTACATACAGGTTTAACACCCCCGAAGACCTCAATTATCTAACTACTTTTACAGACATTTACTTAACTGAATGTTTTGTCAGGCCGTCAAACTTTAGAAAAAGCATTAACTAGCGTTTTCTACTACGTTAATTAATTTGTTGAAGTGTTGAGGAGATGCCAGGAGTAAAGTATTTTAGAAAAACAATTTTTTCATTGTTTCGCTGTCACCTTTATTCGGTTCGTCTTCAGGGTGAATTACAAAACAAGTGTAGCTTGGAAGAAATACAAATGTAAATATAAATTTTGAATTAAATATTTCATTTTCACATAAAGTGTGGTGCTATTAGGTGAATATGAATACGTTCAAAATTTATATTTCCATCTGTATTGTATTAATTGCAATCAACATGTTTTGTAATTGACCCTGGCTATGAAGATGACTCGAATAAAGGTCGAAACGACGGCAAAAAATGAAAAAAGTGTTTTTATAAAATACTTTATTCTTGACTGCTCCTCACTACTTCAACAAATTATCGAACAACCTGTCACTAAAAAACGCACATATTAATTATTTATTAACAAACATTACCAATTTTACATACATATTAATACATATTTTTTAAGTTGAAAATTGTTTTCATCATTCCGAGAAGGTCGGAATAATAATTCAATATACTTTTTTTTCTTATTTAATTTGAGGTAATTTCCTTTCTTCATACCAAGGTTGATTTTTCATGGTTAGGCAATTCGTCTGATTATTACGCGAAATGTTAATTTTTATATGCTCCAATTGATTTGATCTAAAAAGTTTTGTTTGCTAAATTGACAATTAAAAATCAAATCGAATTAGAAAAAATGAATCTCTTAATTTTAAATGTAACACAAGGCAACATCCTTGGTTCAGTATACACCTTAGACATTCCTACCAAATTGAATGGAATAGTCTTCACATTTGCAAACCTTACCCTCATTCATTCAGCAAGCACAGACCCAGAAGTTTAGAAGAATATTTGAAGAAATGGAGGATCAAACTCAACGAAACCAAATATCAGCAAATAACCTTCATCCACCGTATCACCTCTCTTTCAATTCTCTTTTAATCTACCACAACCCTGTTCTCTTTTTCACCAACCAATGTCGACCACTATTTGGGACTTCATATCGATTAAAGATTTGCTTGCAATTCTCACAAACAAACGCTTTGTTTACACACCACTACACAACCAATAAAAATTTAATTTAAATATGGGGCGTTCCAACTTTAAAAGAATCAAATCAACCTGTTCAACATCATTCGAACCATTGTCAAGTTCCTTGCTTATACGTAGTAGATGTAGGCCAACGTAATTGTACACACAGATTCTGTATTTGTTCACGTACCAGCAAGTAGTAGATACAGACGCCACCATAAACCCCTGGACCATAAACCAATAGTACAACTTTCAACCGAAACCATCCCCGACAACCTCCAAGACGAGCAAAGCGCCAAAAGTCTCAACTTGCCCATTTTTAATTTTTAAATCTGTAAAACAATTATAACAGTAAAAGAGCTGTAGGAACAAAATTGATATGAAAAACATGTGAGAACTCACCCACTCAGTGGTGAGCCTCCTATAGAAAAAATAAATAATGACTTCACGTTTTCAATTTTTTTCGTTCTTCACGTAGGGTATCACGTGGCCATCGGGGTTAGGTGTGATCAGGTTTGATACATAAAAAGGAGAGTTAACATTTTTTTTATAGGATTTTTGTTTGAAATCTTTGGATGTGTTGTCAGTGAGAATGATTGGTTG